AGGTATTTCATAAATCTGGGGATTTTGGTGTTTATGCAAGCAAGATAGGTAGAACAAATGAAGGTAGCAAGCCCAAACCCAGAGTTAGTGTCTTTTTTAGTGGAGAATGATTACCGCCTTCTCCATCACAGAAGAGCTCAGTGCCTGCAATCTGCTATCAAGTAGTTGGCAGCCCTTCCTGGAGTGGTTCTATATCAGGGGCTCAGAATTGGTTGCAGCTGCTGGCAAACTGGCATCCTGCAAGGGTGGCAGCCAGGTCGTCATTAATGAGAAAAGGTTAACGTGTGGAGCTCATTTCCTGCTGCCATGGACTTTGTTCCTGTGCCCATTGAGCAATCACTGCGATGGCTGAGGAGGGGCAGACCATCCTGCCCCACAGTGCGAGCCGTTCAGTGAGCACTCTCATGGAACACAAAGTTATACTCTGTCTGGGCTCATTTTAATAAGCCAATTTCCACATGTCTCTTCCCCAGATGTCCTTGTCACCAGTCCTCCAATATTTTTTCTTTCTGGTCCCTATCCATCTGGCTAAACTTGTAGTCACTGCCTATCAGGCTGTCTTTCCTCAGCCAAAGTGGACCGTTGATAATATTGCTTGAAGTTCTGCCCACTAGGAGGAAGTTTCTGCTATACTGTCTTTTCAGACGTCATCCCTTAGAATGGATATAATGCTGTCATAGTCTACCTATGACTCATGACAATGGAAGGTGATTTGGAACTAGGCATTCAAGGTACTTAGAGCTTTCTGAATCCTCCTATATATTTTGTATATATATGGTCTGGTTCTTTGAACCTTACTCTTTCACCTAAGTGACTTAGTGAGACCCTAAATTCAAACATATAATGATTCATCCCTCTTTGAATTTTTTTTTTTTTCTGTCTTAGCTTGGCAACTGCAAGAGATTCAGGATACTTTTTTGATGGGCATTGAAAGTCCTTGAGTTTCAATCTTAGCTTGAAATCAAAAATTTATAGATGGAACATGTAATTCTTTGTTTCCACCCCCTTTTCTGGTTCTTGACCCCTCTCACTATTTCTGTGAGCTCTTTGATATCTTTTCAATAAATTCCTTTTCCAACCAGGGTTGGTTTCTTGTGCTTGCAACCAAGAACCCAGGCAATTACAGCATTGATATTAGGAAAGAATGTAGGAAACAGAACCTCAGGAACCTGTGAAAATCATAGGTGAGTTAGATGGGTTAGAAGTAACTCAGGTCCCATTAATTTTCAAAACACTAATTAATTTTTAAAATGACTGTTACCTGTGGTCACCAGAATAAAGTTCTTTTCATTTAAGCTCAACAACATTGTAGCCACCCTGTACCCACAGTGTTGAATTCCTATGTCCTTCAAATTTCAAAATTTCAAATTTCAAATTTCAAGTTTGAAAGGTGGTAATGATAGGTCCCCCATGTCTTCACTGGGAACTTTATTCTAGTGAACACAAGTAATAATTTAGTCATTTTGAAAATTAGTGGGACCTGAGTCTATAATTGTCTGGGTTCTTGGTTGTAAGCAAGAGAAACCAACTCTGAATGGAAAAGGAATTTATTGGTAGGATATTGAAGAGCTCACTGAAACAGCAAGAGACTGAATGACCTAAAGAAGGGGTGTGGGCCAGGTGCAGTGGCTCACACCTGTAATCAATCCTGCCATTCTGGGAGGCTGGGGTGGGAGGAGTGCTTGAGGTCAGGAGTTCTAGACCACCCTGAGCAAGTGTGAGACCCCCCATGTCTACTAAAAAATAGCAAAAAAATTAGCTGGACAACTACAAATAGAAAAAAAAAATTAGCTGGGCATTGTGGCATGCACCTGTAGTCCCAGCTACTCAGGAGCCTGAGGCAGGAGGATCGCTTGAGCCCAGAAGTTTGAGGTTGCTGTGAGCTAGGCTGATGCCATGGCACTCTAGCCCGGGCAACAGAGCAAGACTCTGTCTCAAAAAAGAAAAAGAAAAACAAAGGGGTGTGAACCAAGGCAACTCTGGAGAGCCAAGAAGTCCAGCCATCATCTTTTATCAGATTTAGTTTGGCCAAGATGCCAGACTTAACACTGTTATTACAGGAGACCATTTTCACTGGACACTGCTGCTGCCACTAGAACCTATTCTAGCTGCCCTGAATGAATCCTAAGTGCCCCTTTGTCTATGTGTCATTCTCTTCACATTCAAAGTCTTGAAATGAGGTAGAATTTAAGTCATATCTCGTGTATTGGCTTCTGGTTCCCACAGAGCAAGAGGGATCTTCTATAAAGAGAGGCCAGGCATTGTGTAGTAGGAGGCTGGTCACTTCTACGATAGGGTTGTAGTTCTTTGTCCCACTTATAGGCAATGTGCAATTCTTCCTTTCCGGTGTGTATGGCTTTTCTTTCTTTTTCTTGCTCTATGGCGTTCACTGGGACCTCCAATACAATGTCAACTAGTATAGGTGAAAGTGAACACCCTTGTCTTCTTCCTGATCCAAGGGAAAGCATTAGTCTTGCACCATTAAGTTTGGTATTCTCTCTAGGATTTTCTTAGAAGCCTTTAATCAAGTTGAGGAAGTCTCATCCATTACTCATGTGCTGGAAGTGTTTCTCATGAGTGAATGTTGAAATTTTGTTGAAATGCTTTTTCTTCATCTATTGAGATGATTATATGTGTTCATTGTTTGTCAACATGGTGAATTATATTGATTGATTTTTGAATGTTGGCCAAATCATGTATTACTTTGTCATCATGTATTTTTATATGTTACTGAATTCTGCTTGTTAATACTTTGTAAGAATTTTAAATCTGTATTGATGAGAGATATATGAATCCTTTGACTTTGGTATCAAAGTAATATTGGCTTCATGAAACCAGTTAGAAGGTATTCCATCCTCCTCTATATTCTGGAAGACTTTGTATAGAATTGGTAATAATTCTCTCTTAAATAATGAGTAGAATTCATTAGCGAAGCCCTCTGAGCCTGGAGTTTTCTTCGTGGGAAGGTTTTAAACTATGAATTCAATTTCTTTAATACATATAGGAATATTCAGAATATTCAGTATTCGATTTTTTTCTTGAATAATCCTAGAAAGTTTGTGTCTTTCAAGGAATTTGTCTGTTTCATCCAAGATGTTGAATTTATTGGCTTATAGTCATTCAGAATTCCCTTATTATCCTTTTAATGCTTATAATATTTATAATGATGTCCCCTCTCTCATTCCTGATATTGCTAATTTGTGTCTTTCTCTCCTTGTTTCTCTTGATCAGTCTGGCTAGAAATTTATCTATTTTATTCTCTTTTCAAAGAATAAGTCTTTGGTTTTATTGGTTTTCTTAATTGTTCATTTTCTGTCCATTGAGTATTTTTTTTTTTAATTTCCTTCCTTCTATTTACCTAGGATCTAATTTGCTCTTCTTTTTTCAGCTTTTTAAGGTAGAAGCTTAGGTTAGTGATTTGACACTTTTGTTCTTTCCTAATATGGGCATTAAATGCTATAAATTACCTTGAAATACTGCTTTGGCTGTTTCTTATAAATATTGATATGTTTTCATTCAGTTAAAAATATTTTCTAATTTTTTTTTTCATTTCTTCTTCAGCTTATGGATTGTTTAATTTCCAAATATTTGGTGATTTTCCAGATAGCTTTCTATTAATTTTGTTCTCCATATTTTTGCTATCCTTGGCTTTTTGATATGCATTTTGGGAGAGCACCACTTGTTTGAGAAGAAGGCACTGATGTGAGCCCACATAATATGTAAAGAACCCACAGGTCAATCTGCAGGCTACCTAGAGTATAGGCTGGTGGGAAGGTGTAGGAGTAGACAGTCTGCTGGTCTCTCTTGGCTGGTGTGTGAGAAATGGGGCCAGCGCTGCTGCCATGACTGCCTCATTCCAGTAGCAAGGGTAGGTTTTGGAATTTGTTAAAAGTCTACATATGTGGCAACCACATACCTATGCCCCTTTGCCACTGTGTGCCTAAGAACTCTGGTAGTCAGGCATCTACCCTTACATAGGAAACAGAATCTTCTTCATAGAAATCGAATGGCCCCAGAGAAGGCCCTAATACCAGAGCTAAATTCCTTGCAGGAAGTGCTAAGGGTAGATTCCTGGATAACCCTGGTAGACAAGTAGACTTTACAACAGAGGAAGTGGCCATCTTTGTTCTCTGCAACACCCTTTACAAAGTAGCTACTTCAAGGCCCACATTTCCGATCAGCTATCTGTATTTAGCACACAACTTCAGACTTGTAGTCTGTGAGTGACAGGACAATGCTTATAAGAATAGAGAGCTATCAATTTTAATGTATGGGTAGATGACCCACAGATAATGAGATCTGCCCTCTAAATGGTAGAACCCTACTCATAATGTCAAGACTGTCCTGTTAAATGCAATCTTATTTTTAATGGGCAGATGCCCTAAAATGTGAATTGGTGACTGAATTACAGATAATTTTAATTTTCTTCTTGGTGGATTTCTGTGTTTTCTAACTTCTTCATAGTGAACGTGTATTATGTCTGTATTCAGATAAAATATTTTTCAATTTTAAAGGTAAAAACTAGAAGAATTGTGAAATAAATAAGAACACCAGATCTAATCTAGTGAGCATGACTTTAAGGTATAGGCATTCTGAAACTAATAATTTAACAGCAAACTGGGTTGATCAGAATTGTCTCTAAAGGTATTTGCAAAAGAAAGCATAGATGTAAGCCTTTAATAATATCACTTTTGACTTGTCCATGAAGAACAATTGCAGGAGTCCTAAGAAAAGCCTTCTGACTCTATTCCCCAGGTCAGAATTCCTATAAAAAGGTAAAATTATGCTGTAGTCATGGATTTAGAAGCACAAGAATATCATTGTCTCTTCTGCTGCTTGCTTCCCTCCCCTGCGTCCCATTCCCTGGTGATCATATTCCTACTGGTGGAAGGGCAGGAGATTTTAAAGACTTTCCTAATACCTTACTTTCAGAGAGGAGACAGGTGCCTATGTTCCATTTGTTCACTAACCCAGTTGTTCCCTCTCTGTTCTGCCCATAGGCAGCTGGCTAAGAGTCTTGGGCAAGCTGGCAAAATTGAGCCTGAAACAGAAGGAATACTAACAGAGTATGGTGTGGATTTCTCTGATTTTTCTTCAGAAGTTCTAGAATGTCTCCCTCAAGGCCTGCCATGGACAATTCCACCATACGAGTTCAGCAAGAGAAAGGATTTAAGGTAAACACCTGAAACTCTTTAAGAACAACATGTTTCTACTTTTCTGCCTTCTAACTTAACTTTCCTAGGGGCTGGGCTTGGATATTTTCATCTTTCTACTAATATGCAAGTTCAGTTCCGTTGAGAATTAAGTGCTTCTGTACCAGAGGTCGGCGAATTATGACCCACAAGCTAAATCTAGCCTGTTTCCTGTTTATGTACAGCCCATGATCTAAGAATGGTTTTTACATTTTTAAATGGTTGAAAAAATTAAAATAAGAATAATTTTTATGAAAATTACATGAAATTCAAATTTTGGCATCCATAAAGTTTCATTGGAACACAGCCATGCTTATTCACTTATACATTGTCTATAGCTGTTTTTGGACTACAATAGCAGAGTTGAGTAGTTGTAACAGAGACCATATGGCCTGCAAAGCTTGAAATGTTTACTTTCTGCCTTGTACAGAAAAATTTTGCTGACACCTGTTGTAGATCATTCTAATTTCAAAAGGTACAGTTGCCATCTTCTTTTCTCATGGCTGTACCACATAGCTCTGGTCAAATAAAGACAGCGTTATCTGGTTAGAAGTACCTTCCTTTAAGTGGGCCTCTTCAGGCACAAAGCAAAGGATTCAAGACTTCTGTACTTGGAGCCTCATTTTAAAGCTTTACTTTTAGGTCTGGAATTTGTTGGAAAGTACTTTTGTGGTATTTTTATAACAACATCTTCTTTGAAGATGTTTCTTCATTGTGGGATGTTAGTTCTTTTCTGATATTTCTCTTCAGAATTTGGTTTCAGTACTGGCATTCATTTTGGATGCCACATGGAGCTATTTAGAACCAAGAAACTTTTCATACAGCCCACTGAGGCCGTGGAAGGTTTTTTGCTAAGGTCATCCCGTGTCAGAGTCTTTTCCACCACACTTGCTTGCTTCGTGCAGCTGAACTTATGATACCTTCAGTTCGTGGTGCCCATTGCTCCACCTCGTTTGTGAATACTCCTGCTCTGCTCCGCCTTGATATTGTATGTTTTAGGAATTTACTGTCTTTTTTTCTTTTCTTGCCACGGGTAGGCAAGGGAAAGGAGAAAATTAATCCTCTTTCCTACTTGTTAGTATCTCTAATGGAACACACCTTATATTTGAAGTCAGTTAACCCAAGTTGCAGTCCTGGATTTTAGTAGTAATGCCCCCTTCACTGAACTCCTGCTGGTGCGTGGGTGCCTTATCTCTTCAGGAGCTCTGAGATCTTTGGCCCATAACCTTAACCTCTCTGAACCTTTGTTTTCTCATATCCAAATTGAGGGGTTTGTTTTCTGAGATCTTTTCCTCAATCTAGGAATCTATAAAAAGATTTAATTAGAAAAAAAGACTAGAATGAATGACTTAACCTTATTATCTGAAATATTATATAGTATAGCTACCTTACATTACCTATCAAAACTGTAAATGTATCTACCTTTTCACCCAAAAACTCTATTCAGGCATCTGTCCTACTCAAAGAAGTATACAAGGATATATATACAAGAATGTTTATTGCTACTTTATTGTAAAAGTGAAACATCAGAGACGCTGCTAGTGTCCATCAATAAAGGAATGGTTTACTGCTCTATGTTAAAGCGATGCGATAGCATTCCCTACAGCTCTGCAAAAAGGAGCTGTATCCACAGGGAGTGTCCTAGATGGATGGCCGTGACATATTATTAAGTGAAAGAAGCAAGTTTCAGAACAATATGAATATGAGCCTGTTTTTTATGAAGTAAAATAATATAAAAACTATCTAAATGAACATATATGCATATATGTGTATACATATATAGAGATACATTAAAAATATATATACATAGAAAAAGGTCTGGAAGGAAATAAACTGTTAACAGTGATTATCATGGAGAGTGGATTTGGTGGATTAATAAAGAAGTAGAGAAGCAAAATTTTACTTCATTTTGTGTACTGCCATATTAAAATTATTATTATTATTTTCTTTTTTTTTTTGAGACAGAGTCTCACTGTGTTGCCCCGGCTAGAGTGCCGTGGCATCAGCCTAGCTCACAGCAACCTCAAACTCCTGGGTTCAAGCAATCCTTCTGCCTCAGCCTCCTGAGTAGCTGGGACTACAGGCATGCGCCACCATGCCTGGCTAATTTTTTCTATATATTTTTAGCTGTCCAATTAATTTCTTTCTATTTTTGGTAGAGACGGGGTCTTGCTCTTGCTCAGGCTGGTTTCAAACTCCTGAGCTCAAACAATCCGCCCGCCTCGGCCTCCCAGAGAGCTAGGATTACAGGCATGAGCCACCGCGCCCAGCCTAAAATTATTTTTTAAAATACTTTTTATAACTTTTAAAAATTATAAATGTGAATGTCAGAAAATAGAGGTACTCTATCTTTTCCAGCCTGACTTTCAGCCTGCAGATAAGTAATGTCAACAGTTATGGGGCCCAGTATTGCTCCAAGTTCCCCTCTCATGGCTCTACCTTACCATTTCTTTGGCCTTCATTGCCTTCTGGGTTAGACCCAGAATAAGAGGCCTTGCTCTGCAGAAAGCCTTTGTTAAAATATATCTTTATTTTATATGTTTGTGCCCTGTGAAAGGATCCAAGGATAGAGCTTCTGGGATGCTCTCTGCTATTAACATAATAACAGGGATTTTTTTTTTTTTTTTAATTTCTTTAGCATCCAAACACTTTATCCCTGCCTACTATCCTCAGGATTATGTTTCTAAAATTCAAATCTGATTTTTTTTTTTTACTCCTTGCATTTAAAATCTTTCAACTGCTTCCTGATGCCTAAAGTAGTAATATCTAAGCTTCGTTGAACATGAATTGCCAGTAATGCATATGTCTTTATTTTAAAATTATAAATGAATTTTCTACTTTAATAATCTATTATGTACATTATAAACATAAATAAATGCAAAAAAATAACAAAAAGGAAATGAGAATGAAATAAATTTTTTAATATTTTAATTTTACTTACAAAAGGTATAGAAAACCCTGTTTATTTATATAATAATTTTGCTTTTGGTAAAAGCAATGTGATTGAATATTCTTTATCATTTATTTAAATTTCGCTTTAACAATTTGTGATATAGAAATTCAGAGGTCTGACTCTAAGTTCTGTATGTTTTGGTGCTTGGTTTTAATGGTGATCATAACTGAAAAGGACATACCTTTAGAAGATGTGAGCTGAGTTTACTAAGTCATAATACTCATTTTTCAGTCCTCTTCACCAATTATATTCCAATTCATTTTGAAATACATCTAATAAATATCCATCTTTCCTGATATCAGTCAGTTCTTATGGACTCCTTGAACAGTGCTGCATTTTCAGGTTTTTAAAAAATGAGTTTATAAATCCTTTGTTACTCTTCAGTTGATATCTTTAAAAACTAGTTAGAAAATTCTGTTAGAAGTTTAAATGTATACATATGAGTGATTTTGTAGTTTATACACTTATATTATTTTAGGCACCAAATCATATAACAGGGGAAGCATTTTAAAACATCCATTTAAAAAATGTTATCTTCAAAACTTGAATATGTTGTTTTGTTTTCAAAATGAAGTAACTTTTTTTCTCATTGTTAAAATGCCATCTTTACCTTGAAGGGATAGATTAAGGGTGTTTATTTTTTCTAAAGTACCTGCTTAGTAGCATATGATTGATAGCCATTGTTTTGAAATCGTAACGTGGCTGGGGATGAATTCATATCAGGAGCAGAGAAAATGTCATTGTTGCTATTCTTCTGGTGTGAGCAGTATTACTAGTAGTATTAGTATTATTAATTTAGTATTCTTTTCAATCTGTGGATTTTTGCAATAATCTTTTTTAGTGATATGCCTATTTTGTAAGGATTAGTTTAGCTAAAAGTAGATAATATTCATAAATCCATGTAACTGGGCATGAGTAAATACCCATTAATTGCATTTGGCTGAAAGCATAGGAACCAACGAGAGTGCCAGTGTCATTACTTTTGTGTTCTGGAATGCTGGCTCTTTCATCTGTAGACCTCATTTACCGCCTGACTCACGCACCTAGTGTGGGTGTCAGGTTAATTCATGTATTTTTGTAGTGTCAGTTAATTTCTTATTTTTTACAATAAAAAATATACATCAAGAGAAGCCTATAAGTATGTGGAAATATTTGGATCTGATTACCGTTTCCTTTTCTTGGACGGGTCTTGTGATAGATTTATTCAGTTATTCAGCCAACAAATATTTATTGAACACCATCCATGGGCACTGAGGCTGCAACACTGAACAAAAATAGATGTGTTCTCTGCCCTTATGGAATTCTCAATCTTGTGGCAGAAGAGCATGAATCAAATCATTAAGCCATAGGCAGATATGGAATTGTAATAAAAGAGAGAGGTACTTGGTGCGAGTGTTTGTGATTGTGTAGTTTCTTGTGCTCTGAGGTCCTGTGCCTTCAGAGAGTTTTTTTTATCATCAATAATCATTTTTGTAGGAACATCAAAAAAACTATTATGGGGGGAGTAGGGGATGGGTAAATTTACACCTAATGGGTACAGTGCACACCATCTGGGTGATGGACACTTACGACTTTGACTCAAACTGTACAGAAGTAATTCATGTAATCAAAACATGTGTACCCCCGTAATATTCTGAAGTTAAAAAAAGAACTATCATTATTTTGAGTCCCAGTGCATGCTGAAAAATATATGCTATGTTTAATAAATTAGTACATATTCTGTAAACTAATAAAATCAAACCTCCTTCAAACATTTACATATATTGCTTATATATGTATATATATTAATATGATAAGTATGTGTGTTTATATATAATATATGCCAAGTACTGAGTTAACCACTGGAAATACAAAAACAACCAAGAGCCAGCCCTTGTTCTTCAGGGAGACAGATTCATACTCAGATAAATTACGGCAGAGAATGGAACTGCTATAACATAGGTATGAACAAACTGCCAAGATCATGGGTACATGAGCTGAGATCTGAGAAATGAGCAGGCATAGAAGTGACTAAAGTTGTCTTCGTTTA